CTCTCTCTCTCTCTCTCTCCCTCTCTCTCTCTCCCTCTCTCTCTCTCCCTCTCTCTCTCTCTCTCTCTCCCTCTCTCTTTCTCTCTCATGCTTATTATAAAAAATCCACTTTAACAAAAAATTAACTTCATTTTTAATTTCTTGTCACATAATAAAAGATTGTAAAAGAATATTTTTAATTTTTTTTCAGAAAATTTTATTCACGCGGATCATGCAAGTTATCATCGGATAATATCTTCATTCTTTCCGTTAGATGGACGTAGCATGCAGACTTGTGCGAATCACTGGCAGAATTCAAACTCTGGAACCCGAATCGGGCATGAAACATGAAAGACCGGCATCCAACATCAAAAACGCGTGACGCGTAACGTGTCAACATGTTTAGTAAACGCGGTGCGCTGATAGTTTTGGAGGGTTGCGATCGGGCCGGCAAATCTACCCAAGCGAAGATGTTGATGAACGCGTTGGACGATCTACGGATTCCTGTGAAAGCCCGAGCTTTTCCGAGTGAGTTATAGAAAAACTTCTCGTAAGATCATCTGAGTCGCAAGGTTATGTTTAGGTTATATTGCGCGGGAAAAGATGTTTTCGCTATTAACGGAACAATTTAATATTAAAATATTGAAAATATTAACAAATGAAAATTTATATGTCAAGTATGATCGTTATTGAAATCAGCATCGTAATGCGTTATTTTTTCTTCAATTGCATTGTGCTGTGAATGACATAAAACATCAACTTGCACGTAATGATTGCCTTTAAAAAAAATATTTTATTTTATTTTTGTAGACAGAAAAACTCCTGTTGGAGCTATCTTAAATAGTTTCCTGTCAAAAGAAATAAATGTGCCACCAGAGGCAGCTCACTTATTGTTCTCTGCGAATCGATGGGAGTGCAAGGAGGACATTGAGAAGACACTTCTGGTGATGGACAGATACACAGCGTCTGGTGCTGCATATACAGCAGCCAACACTGGCAGAAGTCTCAACTGGTGTCAACAACCTGACATAGGGCTTCCAAAGCCAGATTGCGTGGTGTTTCTCAAGGTTTCCAAGCGACAGCAAGAACAGCGTAGTGATTGGGAAAAAGAAAGGTTCGAGCATGATGAATTTCAGCAACGTGTCGATGCTAATTACGAGAAATTAAAAAATGATACTTGGATTATTGTAAATGCAGATCAAGATGAATCGGCTGTGCACAGTGAAATACTGCAAAAGGCACTATCAGTCATCCAAGAGGTTCAGTATCATAATATTAAGCTATTAAGTAATTGATGCTGATAAGTCTCTAATTTCATATTTCTATCTCGGCAAGGAGTCACTATATTAGTAATTCTTTGCGGTATATATTTGCTACAATCTCTAATAAAATTTTGATAAAATATTAAATAAATTTATTAAATAAAAGACTATTTTAATATCTAGAAGTAAAGTTAAGCCTTATTAAACTAAATTGTATAAATCTTGTTGATTTCTTAGATTTAATAGATAACATATAACTATCAGTTAATAAGTAAGATACATATTGTTGGAACTTAAAAAAATAGAAAAATTTAGATAAAATTGTATATATATATATAGATGTAAATTTAGATTGCGTATGTTTGATTTAAAACTATTTGTTTCATTAACGTTTATATATAAAATACTTGCGATAGCATTTAATGCCAAATGTAATAAAGTAATTTTGTTTTTATTTTTACTGAGAGATCAAAGCAAAATCCAAGTATATCACGTTACGCAATTTTCTATGCAAATATAATTTCACGCTTGTCATAATAATTTGCCGAGACGGAATTTTCTTCCATCTGGATTTGAATACAAATCCGGTTTCTTAGAAAAGTCGACATTAAAGAAAGAATCGGGGTCGCACGCGTCTCTCAGAGAAATTCAGACATATCTCAGAGAAATACGACTTCGTCGTACATCTGGTCTCGGTCTCGATCTCGGCGAAATAAAATATGTGATAAACATTTCTAGAATCGGATTGCGTACTTCGCGTGCGTACTACGCTCAGTCTTTCACGAGATATATCTCGTCCTCGAGGTATGATTGATCACGCGACACACGTTAGCTATTATACAATAAATAAAACTTTACAAGAAATAAAAATGTGTTAGACTATAAATAATAATGTATGAATAAAAATGAGTATTATTACAAAAAGGTAGATTGAGATTCATGTAGGTCCGTATCTAGAATTGCGTTTTTGTTAAAGAACTCGGCTCGATAATAAAAATTGCAAGTCGTTTAAGCTTATTGTTCTATTAAGAGGAAAAAACATCGAGAGAAGAAGTTTTATCTGAGGCGAAAAATCAAGTCAAAAGGCAATTTATTGGAATTTTAATTTATCTTCCTTGCTTTTATCCTCTGTAAGAATATAACTCGCCCGCCGTGTTGCGCTTGTAGTTGTGCAGCAATCATTTATAAAAACTGAGAACGAGATGTATTATAGCAACATAAACTAACTTATATCGCCCTATATTACATCATAACTTTTGTCATAATGCAGACAAAAGAATGAAAATAATTAAAAAATTGAAATTTTCAGAAATATACTTGGAGTTCAGAAATATAATTGAAGTTTTAATTAATCCTTTCTTACGTAATTATATTCTTATAATGTTTTACTTGACACTTTGAATATTTTCAGAATTTACATTTTTCCAGTTCAAAGATCGTAAGATTTCTAAAAATTCTTGGAATTGCATTTCTTCAAATGTCAGTTCGTGCCATCTCTTTACTGTTCCTCTAAGACTTTTCCGACTTTTCGAAAGTTCAATTTTTACAGTTTTGAGCCTTCAAATTCAAACATTCTTAGACTTGCGATTCTTGGAAAATTTCAATTTATACCACTACTTTTCACATACTCACATTCTCAGCTTGCTTTTCACATTTTCGTTTGTATGCTCATTCGCTTTGTATGCTTTATTCACATATCGGATTCCTATTATATGATAGCTTAAAATTCCATCATTCGCAGAAAATCAAACGAATTTGAGAAAAGATGAATACATATATGTATACATAACGCGTAATTTAAAAAAAAAAATGTTTAATTAAGACTGCTAAAAAGAGTTCCACACTTAACACATTAAAAACAATAATTAATAACAGAAGACCAAAATATATTATAGTAATATTTTTATGTGTGAAAAAATTCATTCTTATACTAAAAATATTCCTCAAAATCTACGATGCTCATATTCTCGAATGTTAACGAAAATGGCAAATGGAAATCGATTATGTAGGGTGCGACGACGACGGTTGCTAAAGTTTTTTTCTATTTGAGAATGATAAATTGCTTCTCTTCCGCAGACGAGGACATGTACTGTGTGTAATATCTTTCGCGTATCGTAAGTCTAAAAGCAAGTGCATAAAATGTGCTTATGAGAGCGTACTAAAGCAAGAGAAGATATTTGAATAATTTATATATTATGTACGTACACAACTCAATAGGTAATATTATAAAAAGATCCGAGTAGGTGGTGATGGATTTACGCTGATCTCTGTATCTGTCAGGGTATCCCAGAATGAAGTGAGTTTAATTAATGCATTTCTCTCTCCGAAAACAAATTAATTTTTTTTATACATTTTTAAGTAGAATTTTTTTTTCTTAATGTGAATTTGTTTAAAAAATAGTTCATTGAATAGTTAATTGAACAAAGAATAATTATATACGCTAGGAATTCAAAACATTTGTTAATTTCATAAATAAATCAATTCATTAAAAGAATTGATCGATCTATTAAATAGATTGTAATTATATAGGCAGGTAATTATTGAATTATATTTAATTATATATCTAGATGATTTAGCAAATAAAAAATATGCATAATTAATTATTTTTGTTACTTAATACTATTTAATAATTTATATATTTTTCTAAGAATATAATAAATATTTAATTGTTTAGCATATTAATATGCAATAAATAAATCACATTAAAATTGATGCATTTGTCCGTTATTCTCTCTCTGCTTTCTCTCTCTCATTTTACTTTATCCAATAATATAAAAGTGTTTTCCTTCTAATGTCTTTCAAACAATTATTTACTTTGTAATCGAATTATTTTAAATTAAAAATGATTATCTCTCCTCTGACATCTCAAAATCTGAGTTAATCTATATAAAACACCTACATTGCTTTAACTATCTCTCTCTACTGGGATCTGGTTGTGAATTATTACAGTCCTCTGTGACGACATGCCATTAATCCTCCAGTATCACTCACGCTCAGCGAAGCATGTCGGGATGGTATACAAGGTCGTATTATTCAACGGTTAGAGATATCGTCCGAGAATCACGACTCTTCGAAGCCTGCTACGAGTGTTTGAGCGGGCGCAACTTTGTTTCCTACGGAAACGCGATTCGGGAAAATTGCATTTGGCTAAGAAATCCGACGAAAGGAATACAATGGAGCATCAAGACGGAATTGATGATTTCGGAGCGAAGTAATTTTCCACGGAAACGCGATTTGGACGGAATGCGATTTCGCGAATTACTCAGGAAACCTATTAACTCTCTCTCGAACTGTAATTTCCATATTGCTCGCTCAATTAATATTGCGCGAAACTCTATACGAAGATAATTTTCTCTGATTGTATTATTCTAGCAAAACAATTCACAGAGAGCTTTTTTTATATAAGTGTTTATTTCTTGAATAATTATTATATATCTCTCCCTTGTCCTCTATACATGAGTGCATTAATCGATATAAATGATGAAAAATATTGAATGAAAGATTTATAGTGACAATTTGTACATTAGTTTTTCTAAATATTTGAAACTTGTGTATTATACAGATCATATATCTGTTATATGTTCCTTTGTAGATTTGTAGATTTTGCCAAGAATCATTGTCTTTATCCTGCATTTATTAAATTAAAAAAAAATAGCATTATCTTTTTATACTCTTTTCTTATACTTTTAATTTCCATCATTAATAAAGCAGTAAATAGAAAAAAATAAAAAAGAAAGTATTCAACAAAGACAAAAGATTAATAAATTATCCTATTTATGTCTTTATTTCATAAGTTGTTATCACTGATTGTGTGAGTATATTAACAGAATAATCAGTAGTGCTAAGTCAGAGTGCTAACAATGCGTGCTAGGTCAGATGAATATCGGCTCGTACTACTTTGTCCAATCGTAATTGAGCCGCGATATTTTACGCTCCGGTTCACTTGTTAGAATTATTTTAAGATTTTTCGGCGTTAACGACACACGAGTATCTACGGGGGAAAACTATCGTTTCTGTCCGAATCGGTCGTTAAATATTTGTTGTCATGCGATATTGCTGCCATTCGCGCTGTCGATTTCAAATTCGGAACTTGTATATTTTGGGAGCAACAAATTCGGACAATACGTCAGTATCAAATTTAAGCGAGCAACAAATTTTTTTCTGGTGGTTTACTCTTGTAAGTTTGCACGCTGTGCGGCTTTCCGGCATTATTTATTCTTATTTTGCAAGCAACAAATTCGGAAGTTGCATATTTCGAGAGCAACAAATTCAGACAATACGTCAGTATCAAATTTAAGCTAGCAACAAATTTTTTTCTGGTGGTTTACTCTTGTAAGTTTGCACGCTGTGCGGCTTTCCGGCATTATTTATACTTATTTTGCAAGCAACAAATTCGGAAGTTGCATATTTCGAGAGCAACAAATTCAGACAATACGTCAGTATCAAATTTAAGCGAGCAACAAATTTTTTTCTGATGGTTTACTTTTGTAAGTTTGCACGCTGTGCGGCTTTCCGGCATTATTTATACTTATTTTGCAAGCAACAAATTAGGAACTTATAAGACGTGTCGCATTGTATACTAGGAAGATAACCTCTGAACTTGGCTGTAAATCAGTCGCAGTTTTGACTCTGGGGCCATATTTTTGAAAAATATCGCATACGATATTTGTCATTGCGCAACTAAAACGTATCGGAAAATAACTGCGCTATGATAAATATCGTATGCGATATTTTTCAAAAATATGGCCCCAGAGTCAAAACTGCGACTGATTTACAGCCAAGTTCAGAGGTTATCTTCCTAGTATACAATGCGACACGTCTTATAAGTTCCTAATTTGTTGCTTGCAAAATAAGTATTAATAATGCCGGAAAGCCGCACAGCGTGCAAACTTACAAGAGTAAACTATCAGAAAAAAATTTGTTGCTCGCTTAAATTTGATACTGACGTATTGTCTGAATTTGTTGCTCTCGAAATATACAACTTCCGAATTTGTTGCTTGCAAAATAAGTATAAATAATGCCGGAAAGCCGCACAGCGTGCAAACTTACAAGAGTAAACTATCAGAAAAAATTTTGTTGCTCGCTTAAATTTGGTACTGACGTATTGTCTGAATTTGTTGCTCTCGAAATATACAACTTCCGAATTTGTTGCTTGCAAAATAAGTATAAATAATGCCGGAAAGTCGCACAGCGTGCAAACTTACAAAAGTGAACCAACAGAAAAAAGTTTGTTGCTTGCTTAAATTTGGTACTGATATGTCTGAATTTATTCAATTATTAATATATGTTTTAAATAAATTATAGAATTGAATAAAACAAATTCTAAGAATTTTGTATTCCATAGACATAATTTTTTTTGTTTTGCTTTAGGAGAATACCGCTAATCTCTGATAACATTGCATGTTATCCGATATTATTCAAACTTATTTTGCGAGCAACAAATTCGGACAATACGTCAGTATCAAATTTAAGCAAGCAACACATTTTTTTCTGGTTTATTCTTCTTGTAAGTTTGCACGCTGTGCGGCTTTCCGGCATTATTAATACTTATTTTGCAAGCAACAAATTAGGAACTTGCATATTTTGAGAGCAACAAATTCAGCCAATACGTCAGCACTAAATTTAAGCGAGCAACAAATTTTTTTCTGATTGTTTACTCTTGTAAGTTTGCACGCTATGTGGCTTTCTGGCATTATTTATACTTATTTTGCAAGCAACAAATTAGGAACTTGCATATTTGGAGAGCAACAAATTCAGCCAATACGTCAGCACTAAATTTAAGCGAGCAACAAATTTTTTTCTGATTGTTTACTCTTGTAAGTTTGCACGCTGTGCGGCTTTCCGGCATTATTTATACTTATTTCGTAAGCAACAAATTCGGAACTTGCATATTTCGAGAGCAACAAATTAGCAACAAATTCTTATATTATTGTTATGTACAATTTTTTTGCTATATATATATTGTTCCGCTAACTTAATCTTCCTTTAGCGGAACATCATTTTTTTTTAAAATTTACAGAGCAACAAATTTTTTTCTTTGGCAACTTTGTAGCAACAAATGAGCAACAAATAAAAATATTAATTAGACTTGATTCTGCTCATTTTGTTCCGCTAACTTATAAGACGTCCTCGTCTCTAAGTCTTTTTCTAATTGAGCAAACTTCTCTTTTTTCCCAATGAATGTCCTTTCTCATGTAAATCTCTTCGAAATTTCTGTTCACTCATATGTGATTATCGATCAGATTGATCTCTTCTCTTTCAAATCAGCCGCGTAATCGAGCTGATCATCGATTAATCCAATGATTTCCATAGTCCTGAGATTATAAT